AAACGATTTGATGAAGATCCTGCATCTTTCTCCTCCACAGAGGCTTACGTGAAGTTTCTAGTCCAATCTTCCCATCACTCCGCGCGCGCTCACTTTTGTTTAGGAAACTTCATGTAAGTTATTTGTAAATACTTAAGGAGCAGAGGAGCCTGCTTTGCCATGCCATGCCAAATAAATACCGTGTTGTTGTTGACAAAAACAAATCAACCATATTAACCACCATGCAATCTTAATCTTAAAATAACATACTGATTGAAAACCACCATGCAATCTTAATCTTAAAATAACATACTGATTGAAAAGCATTTCAATAATTATACAATTTGTATACATATATAATTACACATAAGTATAAGTACATAAAATTTATCATCTAGGCGTCTCGTCGCGTCTCTGTTTCTCGTAAGCTTGCATTGCTTTTTTGGGTGGAATAAGAGAATCGCTTACTCCAACCCTTCGTTTGCGTTTTTCAAATGTCTTTTGGCTAAAACCACTATCGTCGTCGTCATTTCTTTGATTTTGTCCATTAAAATTTTGTCTTCTTGGAAACTTTTGAGCGTTTTTACTTCGCCTAAACTTGGGCTTTTCAGCTTTTGTTTCGTCTTTACGTTCAGTTAATTTCACATGCCTTTCAAGGATCGCTAATTTTTCGTCTTCTTTTGCTTTGAATGGATTAAAAAACACCGAAGCTGAATGGTCGTCCATTTTGACAGAACCAAATTTAGTTCGTGAATTTTGAGGTTTTTCGCTTAAAATGTCCGGTAATGGTAACTTCTCTTGCGCTTTATCAATCTTTATATCATGTTCTTGCTCATCGCTACTTGTAGCATCGCTTTCTGAGGAAGAATCGCCTGAACTTTCATCCTCACTTTCGCTATTATAGTCTGCCACAAGACCCGCCATGTTTGTTTTTTGCAAGGCGCTAGACAATAATGACCGAGACTTATACTTCATGTAATACTCGACCAAAGTGGTTATGAATATTGAGATTTGAGACGTTTTAACTAGAAATACTTAGTTTGTCTTGGCAACATCTTTATTCCAATTTTGTCTGTCATTCAATTTTAGCTTTTTTGATAGTTACTGAATTACAAAAAATCTACTTAATACAAATACGTATCACTTACCAGCCCTCCAAGGGCTTAAAGTGGTTTTAAACAATGAAACTTGTAAATTTATATGAAATCGAAGTATACTCTTTCTTTCAATTTTTTCAGGTTGGGACTCTAGTATTGACTTTTGTCTTATACTGCTATACATTCCAAGGTCTCTTAATATATAAAGTAATCAGTTTAAATGGTTTGACTGTGTACTATGAATAATATTTAAACGACAGTGGATATAGAGGTAATGAATTTACATGCATGCTTGAACATGGCACCCTGGCGAGAAATTTTCAAAACAATCCTTCGACTCGAATATTCGGCTTTAATTGAGGTCAAATCTAGCAGCTATTCGTGGTAGCTTTGCAAGACGAATACCATCATTTTAAATACTTTTGGTGATGATTTAGTTTCTTTTTTGAAGAAGCGCTTCACATTTTGGACAAAAGGTAAGAAGGGGAACATATGCAACAACATTTTAATTTAACCATTTAAGATTTTAGTATTTGCCGACATCTGTGGGTTAATTGTTAGTATGAATATGATAAATACCAAGTGATTTGCAAATAGTTTGCGATCCACAACAAATAAAACGCTCTGGCGTTATGCAATGTAAAATACCATCATACTGAGGCGGGAACGATATGGTTTCGCACAGTTAGGATTTATAAATTTATCTAACAAACAACATATAAGCCAAAGGTTAATGTTTGTTTTCGTTTATTATAACTAAATAGCAATTAATTACTAGCTTTAGATGGTTCTCGTTAGATGTACTAGCTGTGTATATGTAATCCATTTCTTTGTATGGTTTGGTCTTATCAGAATTTGGTTTAATAGCATGATGATCATCTTAATATTTGAATGCTGTTCTTAGGGTTTGTAATCCAAGTGAATATATATATATACATTTTAAGACCTGACCAGGGACGACTGCGAAAAATGCAGCACACGGTCCTCTGGTAGGATTACAAACCCTAAGAACAGCATTCAAATATTAATACCACCAAGTGAAGTGCAAGAAACCAGATCATTGAACATCTTAACACTTTCATCCGGCTGATCATGGCTTTCTTGACCATTCATGGTCATTAGGTGCGATCGCGACTCTGTGTAAGTGATTGATGTATGTAATACAGTATCCATGTAATAAAACCAACTTCGGATTGATAGGGATACAATTACCTGAAAAATACAAGGAGAACTTCGACGTTTCGTGCGAAGGCCCTTCGTCAGAAACTTAGTAGCAAAACCTATATCAATCCAAGTTTTATTATTGGCACCACCTACACTGGTATATAGAGACTGTTAAAGATTATATCCATGCACTAAACCTTACAAGGCCGTGATGAATAGAATTGTTTTGCTTGGTGGAAAATTACAGATCGAAAGTTTCCCAAATATCTAAACGTAGTGTTTCTCCGACCAAACAAAACCAAACGATAAGTGTCGATGTATATGTGCAATTAACTCGAATGATACATAGAATTTGCATACAAGCTAGACTAGTTCACTTCGGTCTTCGTCTTCGGCGATCATTACATGGTCACGATAGCTGGGACCAAATGGAAGGCAGTGCATGAGAGATACAATTGAGTACTTTTACAGTCTAAAGACGCGTTTACACTTGTAATTTTTGCTGCGATGTTAGGTGCGATTTTCGTCTTTTGATGGATGTGAACGAGTGGGTGATTTGTGAATGTTCAGATGAAGGTCGTTCACATGCATTAGAAAAAGGAAATCGCCCAAAAATTGCATGTTTAAACGCCGAGCCTTAATGCAACATGATTTCAATTGTCAGTGGGAGTAATAGTAAATATACATGTACAAAGCACCGTATGAAGTACCGGGGATGCCTGTGGTGTTCGATAGAGCGAAACCTCTGCACGATGTCATGGAATCAGATGGCGCTAGTAAAGGGTAAAGCCCGCCCCCTTGTTGATGAATGCAGGTTATGAAGACTGCTGTCTTCAACTTCAAAGACTAGGATTCATTTGTGTTGAATGCCGTATATGCCCAGACCTGGAAAAATGGTTTAATGTTACTCGGATCCGCTGAATTTGCCTTTTTCAAATGTTTTTCAAAGTGCTTAAAATGGAAAATTTGACCGTACATTGCGCCAAATTTGAACATTGAACAACACTTCAGACACTTAAACGACAGATAAAGAAGTATGATTACTTAAGATTCACCTATAACGTATGTATATATTCCTCCATCCTCTTGCTAGAGTAAATGTTCCTCAAGATCCCACATTTTTCCAGGTTTGCCGATATGCCGTTCAGCGACAATCCACTGTACGACCGGGTATACACGTAGAAATCTTGCAACTTGTCAACAAGATGTGTTCGCAACAGGCTTGTAGCAAGCTTGTCAACAAGTTGTAACAATGCTGTTATTTTACCAAGTTGCTACAAGGTTGTCACTCACAACTTGTTGATAAATTGTTGAATTGCAGGAAGATAAAAAGTTGTTAGAACAACCTGTAACAAGTCTGTTGAGCTCAGCAACCTTGTAGCAGGTTGTTAACAAGCCGTTGACAACTTGTAAACAAGCTAGGTACAAGCAGTGCAAACACATCTTGTTGACAAGTTGTTGGAACAGCATTGCTACAACTCTGCTGCAGCTTTGTTACAACTTGTGCGTTTTTACGTGTGTATTCTATGGTCTCCTTATTGTTTTCCAAACCCCACTGTCCTCCACCCATTCACTCTCTGTTGTGACATATTTTAGTTATTCTACAATTTGCATTTTTTCACCGATATTCAATTCCACTTTTCTGTATAGCCATGGCAGACTCTGGTACTGTGAAAGCACTTTTCTACGCTTGCTTGGCTTTCATTGGCTTTCTAATAACCGTCACAATATTTTTCATTTACACATTGGTATTTCGTGTCAAGCGACAATTCGTTTACCACATCAGTGTTTCTGATAGTACTATACATCCGTATAGTACTAGGGAACAAAGAGTAACGGAGAGCTCAGCCACCACAGGACTTCCTGGAACCATAGAAAACCAAGGAAACGCAGATGATGATAGAGATACGGACAGTTTAACCCGGAACCTATCGTTCAGGAATTTCGAAAGACCAGAGCAGCCAATTAACACTGCGTACCAAGAAAGCATTGAAAACCAGGTCACTTCCGAGTATCCAGAAACCATAGAACACCCACAGATCACCTTGAACGAAGGACGCACAGATGATGGTAAAGATACGGATAGTTTAACCCGGAACATATCGCTCAGGAATGTGGAAAGACCAGAGCAGTCAGTTGACACTGCCTACCAAGAAAACGTCGAAGCAAGCATCGAGAACCAGGTTATGACCATGCACTCGGAAGCCATAGAACACCCTGCACAGACTACCGAGAACATAGGCACCATGGATGATGATAAAGATTCGGACATTTTATCCCGAGGACGACTGTCGTTCACCACCTTCGAAAGACTCATTGAATATGCAGGTACCACTGAAGTCTCGGAAACCACGGACCATCCAGAAACCACAGGATATCTGGGGATCCAAGGAAACCCAGGTACTTCGGGTATCACTACGGGTATGGACAGCCTCACCCATGCGGGACAACCAGCTACAGAAGATCACTCCGGAAACCTGGAAACCATCACTGAAAATTACGCAGGAATTCCAAATGCCGATGACTACACTAACACTACTGATTATACTACAGATGAC